GCTGCAAATATTATCACTGGAAATGGTCCAAAAATGTGATCTAAGATTTTCCAGCAAAAATAGGGCCAGAAACCCAGGGAGAGAAGAAGTAGACTTTTCATTCATTGTATTAGATTAGAAGTAATAAAAAGGGAAATAGCAAGTCCATTTCTTGTAAACCAGGACGGCAGCTCCATAAAGGCAGAGACCATGTTGTTTATTTGTTTGGTTGGTTATCATTGTATTTGTAGTACCCAGCATGATGCCCTGAATTAATGAAGCCTGAAAGATTTGGAAAAGGAAGACCAAATGATGCTCTCAGAGTCAGGATCAGATATCTCTGAGTTGCCCAGCCCTGGGTTTTGTATGGAAGTAGATTGCCTCTATATCTGCTATCTTTACAGATATTGTGCACCTTGGTCATGTTTGCCTGTCCAACATCTATCCCCTTTTTCTAGAAGGTCCCCAATTTCCTTTTGGGAACATCCTCTCCTCATTTTGTGTCCTCTTTTTGGGAGAGTGAATCCTGGTAAACACCGCCCACATGAAAGGTGAAGAAAGCACATCCTTCTTTTGTTTGCCCCACCCTCCCATTTGGACCAAAGTGACCTAAAGTCACTCAATCTGATGATCTCTCCCAGGACTTTGACTCTTGGACAAGTGCCAAGGAGGGAAGAGCTAGTTGGAGCTCATTTATTTTGGTGGTTAATTCTCCAGACAGTTTCTGCCACAAACCCTTGCCGAGGTCCTTGCTGCCTAGCCCACTGGAGCTCCTTACTTGTCTAAGCCTGGTCACTCAGCCTCCAGCCAGGTCTCTGAGCTGCTAATGACCTTCCAATGAATTCCCTTTTGTGTAAGTAGGCCAGCATTAACTTGCACTGCACGCAACCAAGGCCTTTATCTGATAGTGCAGGTGGGCTGCTTCCCCGGCTAAATGGTCTGGTTTCTCTCACTTCATTTCTTTTCCTCGGCTGCAGTTCTGCTCGTCCCTTTTAAAAATGCTGTCCTGGAAGCTTCCTCTTTTAATATCCATTCCAATCAATGGTTATTTGTCCTTTCCATTCCCATTCCTTGTAATGGACAGTGATAAGGTTGTTCCTTCCTTCTCTGCAGCAAATCCTCCTTTTCTGTAACTGACTCCTCACCTCCAGTAGCTTGACTTTGTGCTTTGGCCATCATTGATTGGTTGGTCAAGCATTAGACAGTTTACCCTAAACTGGGCCCATCAGATTTCTCTTTTCTGGTAGCTTATGTTCGACCTAGGGAATGTGAAAGTTGTAGGTTGCTGCAAGCTGAGCCTCCAAAGTAACTTGATGCGGAGAGGAAGGTTTGTAATTTTCGTTGCTGAGGTTTGAGATTTTTTTCTGGGTCCTAACACCTATCTTGAGGAGAGTTCCAATAAACCTGCCTTTCTTGATGAAGTTTTCTATTATTGGCTTATGTTATCTGCAACCAAACACATCTTAATTAACAGTTTCCATGTGCTAAAAGGCTTTTTGGAGACAGCAGCAGATTTTCATTCATTCATGCATTTATTCACTCATGCCAGGCACTGTGCTAGGTGCTATGAACCTAGAAATGAATTTGACAATTCCCTGAACTCAAGGAGCCTGCTCTCTGTCTAGTTGGGGTGTAAATGTATTCAATCAATCATTCATTCATTTGATAAATAATTCATTCATTCAACTAATAATCACCAGCACTTATTAAATATTATGTAACAGGCCCTGATACTAAATGCTTTTCTAATAGGTATGTCCCATTTTACAGATGAAGGAACTGAGTCACAGAGAGGTTAGACAACTTTGCCAAAGTCACAAGGCTTCTAAGTGCTACAGCTGGATCTCCAATCCTCTCTAATCACAGAACTCTGGCTTCTCACCACCGTGTAACCTCCCTTTCAAAATAGAATCCCAAAGCAATGCCCCACATGCTTACACAAGTGTGTGGAGGTTGGAGGTCAACAAAGGTTTTACAGTTGAAGTGGTTTGAGCAATCTTGGAGGAAGAGAAGAGTTGTAACCCTGGTGCCTAACACAGTATTTTGCATATGAACTCAGTAAAATGATGATGAGGCTGCTTATGCATCTGGAAGGAGTTGTTTTTCTGCTTACACAGAGCCTGGGGTGTTTCCTACTGCCTTCTGAGGCATCCTTTTTGTGATTTAGCAATGGCGTGCAAGGACATCATTTGTGTAGTGTATCATTGATGCTCACAAAAGGCTTTTGAGGTAGTAGTATTGACTTCATAAGATGGGTGAAGAAACCAAGGCTGATGTTGCATGACTCGTCCAAGACCACACATGGTGAATAAGTGGCAGAACCAGCCAAGGACCTGGTATTCTGCCCTCCGGAGGGAGAGATTGGCTAACAGGATACCTCTAATCTAGTCAGGCTTCTTTACTCTGAGTTTCCAATTTAAGGCTTTGCTCTTTACAGCCTCTACACCTGAGCCTCTGAAGGTTCCCTCTCCCAGAGACATCCTCCCATTCTTTCTCATTTCCAACTTACTAAATCTTTATCATCCTTAAGATTAAACTCATCCCACATCGTCCTCTCAAGTGGTCTCCAGTTTCATTCAGCCCACTAGCTAAATGTCAATTAAAATCCCTTAGCCATGTTTCCAATTAGATTCTTGCCCTGAAAGTGTCTTATTTAGAAACTCCAGACTCATCACTGTCATCCAGCCTTCCTCATCAGAACTCCTGTTGCCTAATCTCTCCAGCCTGCAGTCGGCCTTTTATTGTTGTTTACTATGTGAACATCTTGTCTTTCACTAGAATGTGAGGCACAAATCACATGCTGCTTTTTTAAAATTTTTAAAAATATATTTCATTGATTTTAGAGATGAAGGGAGAGGGAGAGAGAGCTAGAAACATCAATGATGAGAGAATCATTGATCAGCTGCCTCCTGCACACCTCCTACTGGGGATTGAGCCCACAACCCAGACATGTGCCCTTGGCTGGAATCGAACGTGAGACCCTTCAGTCCGCAGGCCAACGCTCTATCCATTGAGCCAAACCAGCTAGGGCCACATGCTTCTTCTTCTTCTTCTTTTTTTAAAATATATCTTTTATTGATTTTTTACAGAGTGGAAGGGAGAGGGATAGAGAGTCAGAAACATCGATGAGAGAGAAACATCAATCAGCTGCCTCCTGCACACCTCCCATTGGGGATGTGTCCACAACTAAGGTACATGACTAAGGTACATGCCCTTGACCAGAATCGAACCTGGGACCTTTCAGTCCCCACGCTGATGCTCTATCCACTGAGCCAAACAGGTCAGGGCCACATGCTTCTTTTTTAGCTTCATACATCTATCGCAAACTTGGGTTCTTTGGGGTCATGTTGTTTGTTAGTTCATAGAGGATATGTGCTCTGCCCACCTGCTGTTAGATTGTTTAGCTCCTAAATCATGCAAAACTGCTAACTTGTCAAATCCCCTTTCTAAAGCTCCTGGAGGGTCTGAGAAGAATGTAGGGGCTCTCACAGGCACATTCAGCAATTAATAATAACCAACACTTATTCATGTTTACTAATTGCCAGGTCCTGAACAAAATACACTACACGTATCAACTCATTAAATCCTCAGGACAGCTATTACCCCCCTGAACAGATGAAGACGTATAGAGATCACTCTGCTCATAAGTGGTGCAGCCAGTATTCAAACGCAGCCTGAGCTGAGTCCATACTTTTAACTCCGACACTAAATCCTTTATGGGTAACCAAAAGTCTCTTGCTATAATATACATCCACTTCCTTTCTTTCTAACCTGCGTAGGAAGATAGGATTAAAGGAGTGAGAAAATAATAGAGGAGTTATTATACTTCTAGTCACGCAGTGATGGCGAACCTATGACACGCGTGTCAGAGGTGACATGCGAACTCTTTTTTTGGTTGATTTTTCTTTGTTAAATGGCATTTAAATATATAAAATAAATATCAAAAATATAAGTCTTTGTTTTACTATGGTTGCAAATATCAAAAAATTTCTATATGTGACACGGCACCAGAGTTAAGTTAGGGTTTTTCAAAATGCTGCCACGCCGAGCTCAAAAGGTTCGCCATCACTAAAATCTAGTGTGAGCCAGGTATCATGATAGGTGGACAATGCTTCATTAAAATAATTCTTGCAATGAGACTATGAAGCAGGAAGTATTAACTCCATTTTAAAGAATGTGGCTCCTAAAGTTGTGAAGTATTCAAGGTTTAACTTGCCGTTATTGGCAGAGTTGGAAGGGAAACCAGGTTTCCTGACTTTCAAGGAAGTGCTCTTTAAAGGAAATTGAACACAAAACATGGATAGAGACTGTGTGGAGGGGAAAGAGACATTTGAATGATTACTTAAGAAACGTGTTAATGCAGTGTAACGTATATGATTGTTTAACCACTACATTGTAACCTGAAACTAATACAAATTCATGTCGAATGTAAACTGTAATTGAAAAATAAGGTTTAAAAATATGAAAAAAAATGTTGGCAGCTAGGGGAAAAAGATATGTGTTCATGTAAACTGAATAATGGTGAGATAATGTAAAAAATGCTACTCTAAGAACATCCATAGAGGAATTGTTAATTAAATAAAGGAGCCCTGTCTTGGCCTGGAATTAAACCCGCGAATTCACCCGGAGGCAAGAGAGAGGGGGCGCCAGCTGTCCAGAAGAACCAGGGAACCCGCTCCACAGACGGGCTCGGCCCCCTTTTCTACCCTCACACTCCAATTGGCTAATTTTCCTCGGCCCCGCCTCCTCGTCAGGGTGGACCATTAAGCAGAAGCCAAGCCAATCGGGTGCCAGGTCCACGAGTCCCTCCTGAAGGCCCCTGGACAAGGGCGACCAGATTTACTCTCGCCTGTGATTGGCCAGGCGGCAGCATGGGGTCCGCCTCCTCCTCCTCCAGATTGGTCAGTGGTCCGTAATCTCCTGACCCTCCTTCCAGCCCCCGCCCGGACTTCCCGCGGGCGGCCGGGCCTCCGCGGGAGTGGGCCCCGCCCCCTTGTGACAGCCGGGAATTGGCGGCAGCGTGCAGCCATTTCCGGTTTCGGGGAGGTGGGTGGGGTGCGGAGCGGGACTTGGAGCCGCCGCCGCTTCGGCCACCGCCTACAGAGTCTGTCTTGCGCCTGGTGCTGCCTGGACCATGCGGCCGGAGCCAGGAGGCTGCTGCTGCCGTCGCCCGCTGCGGGCGAACGGCTGCGTGGCGAACGGGCAGGTGCGGAACGGGTACGTGAGGAGCAGCGCCGCTGCCGCCGCTGCCGCAGCCGGCCAGGTACGGTGGGAGCGGGCGGCCGGGCCGGAGCTGTGGGCCGGGACCCCGCGAGCTGGCACCCGCGCGGAGCCGGCGGCCGGGCGGGGCGAGGTCGCGGTGACCGTCCGCCTGGCGCGCGTCCGGCGCGGCTCAGGTGTGTGCTGGCGGCCGTTCCTGGCGCTGGCCGGGCCTGTCCGGAGCTGGAGCCTCAAGGGCGGCACGGGGGCTCCCCCGTCTCTCCTCGCTCGAGGTCCTCCTCAACTGTGCCTGGAGGTGTGGGGTGTGCTTCAAGTCCGGGTACTTTCCTCTCTACGTTTGGGCCAGAAATGTGGGCCGCCGAGCAGCGGAGGCAGGGGGTGACTCCTCGGACCCTGGAGGAACCGCTTAGGGGCTCTTGATTCTCCCGAGGCGCCTTCCTCATGCCCTCGAGATGGAGGCTTCCTCTTGGAGCCCTGAAGCCCTCCTAGGAAGACCATCCTGGGGTTCTCGGGAGGCAAAGAAAGTTAAGAGGCGGTACCAGGCGGAAACGAAATTAGTCACTTCCTACCACATACCCTACCCCTTCGGCAAGCAAGACATTGGACCACCCACCTGCAAGTAAACGCGGTCGGGTGCCTCGAGAGCCTTAAGCTCATAGCCCGTGGTGAGACCTCATCCCCGATCCAGGTTGAGGTAGGTGGTCCCCTGGGCCCTTTGAACAACAGTTCTGTCACCCAAGGGGGTTATTTAACCTGGCGATGACTTGTGATGACTCCATACGAATTAACCGAGGCTGAATCACCAAGCAAATCCAGGCAGTTCTGAAATATCTTGAAAAGTTCTCAGTTCAAGACTAATTATTAACCTTCCAATTCTCTGGATTGGCATAGTCTGCTGAAATGTGCTTTTAAAGACAAACTGATTAAAAGGATGCAAGATCCGTGTTGCTGGAAGAGAGTGCTGTGATATTTGCAACTGTCTTTCATACTTAAAAGTCATGTTCAGATATTTAGGAAAACTTTTCCACCCCCAAAGGTAATCTGTTCCCTGTATTTGGCTTGTGACTGTGGTTTAATTTGGCTTTAACATAAATATCTGGCAGGCTCCTCCCCCAGTCAGTAGATATTCTAGATAGGCCTGTTGCTGTTTGGTGTGAAACAGAAAATAAAACATTTCTCCAGGTCATGCTGAGAGAAGAAGACTATAAGAGTTGGGGAGAGGAAATAACATACAAGAGACTTGACCTCCCTAGAATTTATAAGGCATAAGGCAGTATAGTACTAAATTCAAAAGATTTGTTGTCATTTTTTAAAATAATTAATTGTGTGAGAGAGGAAATGATAAGAGTGGGCTCATTATAAGCAGTGGGAGGAATTGTTTTCCTAGTCATGGCTAATAAGACAAAATTGTGGTATAGAATATAACAGGGAAATCTCACAGGAGGAGTCAGAAAATACATTGCAGGTGAATGAGTGGATTATTTATTATTTATTTATTTATCGATTAGTTTGTCGTCCCACCTCTTTATGCATTCATTGGTTGATTCTTGTACGTGCCCTACCTGGGGCTTGAACCCACAACCTTGGGTGTATTGGAACGATGCTCTAACCAACTGAGCTACCCAGCCATGGCCCAGTGGGTTATTTAAAAGGGAAAAGGAAATCAAGAGAAAGGTATTCAGATTTTCGAGGTGTTTTGTGTTTAAGTGCTCTTTTCACTTAACATAGGAGCTATGTTCTGATTTAGTAGTAAATTAAATTTCTGCCTCCCATAATTACTAACAGCTGAGCATTAGTAAGCATAATGTTTCTTCAGAATTCACGACCAATATGATGATGAAATAGCAAGTTGTTAAAATGAAACTTAAAAACCTGCCTGACTTTTCCTAGTACATTTTAGGGGAAAATTCCTCTCAAAGCACTATGGTGGTATTTGGAAGAATGCGATAATGGAATACGCTAAACAATGTTTAGGGCTGCTTCTAGGAAGTCTTTCAGAAGTCTTTTTAAACAAAGAATTTAAGTATATTGCTTTGTACACGGACATGAGAATATTGTGTGAGTTTTTTTATTTCCTTTTAAGCAAAAGAGAGATTTTTGGTAACTTCATGAGAACAAGAATATCTTAAAAACACATTTTAGCCCGGTCAGCATGGCTCAGGGGTTGAGCATCAACCTGTGAACCAGGAGGTCACGGTTTGATCCCGGTCCGGGCACGTGACCAGGTTGTGGGCTCAATCTCCCAGTGGGGGACTTGCAGGAGGCAGCCGATCAGTGATTCCCATCATTGATGTTTCTCTCTCTCTCTCTCCCTCTCCCTCCCTCTCTGAAATCAATAAAAAATATATTAAAAAATATATATATTAGTTAATCCCCACCTGAGGATATTTTTCCATTGATATATATATATATTTTTTTTTAGAGAGAGTGGAAGGGAAGGGGGGGGGGGGGAGAGAGAGAGAGAGAGATTGATTTATGTGAGAGAGGCACATCAATTGGTTGCCTCCCACAGGTGCCCCAACTAGGGCCTGGGACTAAGCCTGCAACGGAAATACATGCCCTTGACTGGAATCGAACCTGGCACCCTTCAGTACACAGGCTGACACTCTATCCACTGAGCCAAACCAGGTAGGGCCTTAAAAATATTTAAGTTAGTTTTGTTTTTCTTAAAGTGATATGCTACTGCTCTAACTCCAATCAGCAGTTTCTGGGGGATATGTGTGCCATAAAAATACACATAAGGTGTTAAATGCTGGGGATGTCTGTAATACTTTCAGCAATAAAGATAAATTTTTAAAAAAAGATGTTATGTGCACAGGTGTGCATCATGCTCTTACTGTAAATTTATAGTATAACATGTTTTTAAACCCAAGGTATAAGTTCATTTCCTCACATATTCCTACATTTGTCTTTTATGAGCAGAGAGAAGTTAGAAACTTCTAAGATTTCTTTACATTCTCCAGAGTCTATGTTTCTGTGTTTGAAGGGATGAATGTGTAACTGAAACCCAAGGTGGGCTGCCTGCTGCCACAAAAACCAAACTCATTAGACAGATGCTGGTGAAAAAGAGGTTTTAATTCAAGTGCCAATTGCCTGAGGAGATGGGGGACTCTTGTTGCAAAGCCCATCTCAACGTCTAAGTGCAGGCAGAGTTTTTATAAGGAGGGAGAGGCAACGCAGAACAAAGAAATCAAGGGAAGGGGGTTGAAAAATTCTCTGTGTGCAGTCCAGCACAGTCCATTCTAATAAGACCTTCAAAACTGCTCAAGTGATAGTCTAGTGTGGATCATCCTGGTACTTTGTCTTCCTGGTTCTGCGTTTGAAGGTCAGCAAATCTCCTGGAACTGGGATGACTGAAGGTCGGAGTTGGTAACTTCTGAAGTTAGTTCCTAGGATTCTTATACAAATGTACTGTTTATTTACAAGCTACATATTAGTCAGAATCAGCATTTACAGGAACAATATCAGAAAAATAGTGGGGTGGGTTACAAATGTACAGATGCTCAACTTACAATGGGGTCACCAGTTGACGTCACCCAGGGTTTTTTTTTGGTGATAGCTGTGAGATAATAGGAAATACAGGGTGTGGCAAAAATGTACATACACTTTGAATTATAAAGGCAGTGTTATTAAAATGCATTTCATTAACGTGTGTATACATTTTCTTGGGACACCATATATATCCTCCTATATAATAAAATGGAGTTAATGATTGATCATGCTTACGTACTGGCCAAATGGTGGAATGACCAGAACGACCAGTCGACCAGTCGCTGTGACGTGCACTGACCACCAGGGTGCAGATGCTTAACGCAGGAGCTGTCCCCTGGTGGTCAGTGTGCTACCACAGTGGGAGCACCGCTCAGCTGACTGGGATGAGTGGCTGCTCCTGCTGTGAACCCTGGGCCGATAGGCAGGGACCCGGGCTGCGATCATCGTCTCCTCACCCCAGGCTCCTCCTTGCTCCCTGCCACCTCTTCTGGATGCCCATAGGCCGTGCAGTGCTGCTGCCAGGCTTGCAGAGCTGATCCTGGAGGCTGGGAGGCGGATTCATGGCCACTGCAGGACTGAGGCCTACTCCACTGCTTCTCGGTGCTATTGTCCCTGGGCCCGGCGCTGACCAGGTCTCTTGGAGAGGCAAGTGCTCCGGCTCCACGGAAGATGCCAGACCAGGGAGCAGCTGCTCAGAGGGTGGGTCTACAGCCGCTCAGCTGACTGGGATGAGCCGCTCGCTCTCTCACAGCGGGCCCATCCCAGCAGGCTATGCTCCCCCACCAGTGCACGAATCCCATGCATCAGGCCTCTAGTGTATATACATAGATAGATAGATAGATAGATAGATAGATAGATAGATAGATAGATGATAGGTAGGTAGGTAGGTAGGTAGATAGATATAGATATAGATATAGATATAGATATAGATATAGATATAGATATAGATATAGATATATCTGTCTATATATCTATATCTATATATCTATATCTATCTCCGCTGTTTCTGGCACGGAATTCCTAAAACTTGTGTGATTTCCTAAGTGAGAAGTGTATTAAGAGCATGTTTTGTTCTAGTATTTGATCTTTGACCCTGATTCCTAACCACAGAGTACCTAAGTCTCTTGGAGTGTTCTGGGTGACCATGGTGTTCTTTGTTCTGTGAGGTGACTCTGGGTGGGCTCCTGGATAGGGGCTGGTCACCAGAAGGACCAAGCCATGACTAGAAGCTTGGAATGCTCAGCCCTACCTTCCATTTTCCAGAGAGGAAAGAGGGGCTGGAAATGGAGTTAATGATTGATCATGCCTACGTACTGAAGCCTCCTCCATAAAAGTTCCCATAAGTACGGGGTTCAGAGAGCTTCCGGGTTGCTGAACACATGGAGGTGCTGGGAAAGGGGCGTGCTCCTTCCCACACATCTTGCCTTCTCTTCAAACTAGATGTTCACCTGTATTTTTAATATCTTTTTATAATAAACTAGTAAACAGTAAATAAACAATTTTCCTGAGTTCTGTGAACTGCTCTAGCAAATTAATCAAACTGGAGGAGGG